TGTTTTAAATCATTAAAAAACAGTTTTAAATCAAACAAACATGTTTTAAAACATTCCGTTTTAAAACATTTTCCATCCCTACTTCAAAGAGACTAATTATATAAAAGGGTTAATTTTGGAGATGAAAGTCAACACAAACGAAAATCTAAAAAATGTTCGTGACCAAGAGAAATTAAAAAACTATCCAAAGATCAAGATGAAGTCTACGGGCTGCATATTGTTGGTTCATTTCAAAGGAAAGGCGTCAAATGTTGTTGAAATTCTAAAAAGCATTGGTCGAGAAGCTATTCATGAGGGTGAGTGTTTTTTTTCACTAAATATTTGTTGAGTTATCATATATCCGAAGTTACGCTGCCCCATCGGTATAAAATATCTGAGAAAAATTGAAAGCTCTTCGTGGCTTATGTTTCGACATAGAACGTTCTTTTTCTCAGTTACTTGGTGTTCCTGCGGTCGTCTATCTTACACGGGGAATTAATGGGAGAATAGGATATATGCTAACTAATGAGCATGTTACCGTAGACTATTCCGGCCGCGCAATATTTAGTTGTTAATAATGATGATGCATGTACTTACATATTATCATTTTATAGACGAAGAGGAGATGGGGGTATAGAAGGATATGCGAAGTTTCTGGTGGAGTTCCAGAAGGATGTCCGAAGAAGATATGGACAGATAAATTAAAGATAATGTTGACGTTGAAACAAAAATTAAAAGAAAAAATATATTTATCCAATGTAAAAATTGGCATAATCGTATACGTGAAGAAAATTTTGGCAAAAAACGGATACCACAGCGATGAGGTATCAGAAACCGACGATCTGAAAGGTAAATTATATCAATATATGTATTATAAAACATTTATTTTTATTTATCAATTAATTACAGGTCCAGAGACTGTGAAATCGTTAAGAGGTGTTGTGTGTTTGGAGAGAGCAGGTAGAATTTTAGGTGTTGTAGTCGGAAATTCATTCACGGACGGTGCTGTTGACGAAGCTGAAAAGTCCTCTTCTTATCCCATTATTTTAACCACAATGAACCATATACACACGACTTTTCTTAATCTCACCCTCGACATTACCACGCAACCCTATTAGTCTAACCCTCTATAACCATTTTATTATCAATCATTAATTTCGCTTTTAACTATCGTCATTCCTTTCTTTTTTTAAAAAATTTTAAAATTTCTTTTTAACCGACTTCATATTTAACCATTAATTTCGCTTTAACTATTGTCATCTTTTTTTTTATTTTATTTTATATATTTTAATAATTTTTTAGTTAATAACCTTGATCATAAAGATCTATTTGCATGTTTAACAGTCTGCCGAGAGTGGGCTGATAAGATAGTTTCTATATTCTGGAGTGAACCTAGCATATATTCGATTTATTGATAAATATTAGTGGCATGAATAACAAAGTCTTCTAAATGAACTTTTTTTTATATAATGATCTGGTGATGAAGGTTAGCCAAATAACTCATTTTTTTTGTCAAAAATTTACACCGGATTAAAGCTTATTTTTATTTGAATATTAATAAAAACTAGCCCTGGTGGCTGATTTCACATACATAATTATGTTTGATCTATTACGTGAATTTATTTTTATCGATGTATATTAACTCGCATATAGTCGAGAATTTTTTTTGATAAAAGTTAGAGCGTGAAATTTTTCACGCACTTGATATATGATCAAAATTTTTGACAGTCTCTATGAGGCGCATGATTTCAAAATATTTTTTGTTGTTTCAAAAATAAGGATAATTTTAATTAAATTAAAAAGTTATAAACCAATAAAAATATTTTTCAAGACGTCGATAAAATCTTTTTCCGAATACTTGTGATAAAGTTGTATATATAATATTAAATATGCAACACCAAAAAGACGAGACTAAAGACTTATCTGAAATCGTTTCATTACGAGAAGTTAATTCAAAACTTATTACCATAATTGCAAAATTTAAATGTTGAAATCAAGGCTAAGAACATCGAGCTTAGAATGTAAAAATTAAGATTGAAAATGAAAGATTAAAACAAACTTTGAAAGAACATGAATCAAAATTTATGAAACTGGAGCAGAATGATAATGATATTTCTACTGAAAATGCTGAACTTAATAGAGTTGCAAAATTGGAACAGAAACGGTTACAAGATGACGAAGAAAAGAATAATCATATTGCTAAATACCATAGAAATCAACTAAACCTTCAGTTAATATCACTGCCAAAGCAGAAAATTCTAACGATACTCCTGAACATATAGATTTACGATATGATGATACCTCTAATGAATCCAATATTGATCCTTATATTGATGAATGCCAACCTATCAACATAAAGTCAGAATTATTAGATAATAAGAAGACAAAAGAATTTCTGGTTCGTAAAGATAAAGAAAGGATTAGTGATGAAATAAGAGAAAGAAAAATTTCGTATCAAATGATATAGAATTTGCAGTGAATTCTGTATCATTTCATATGGAATTTCATACAATAAAGAAAGGAAGCTTCAAAACCAAAACTTATCTTTGAATAGCTCAAAACCATCCAATTCATCATATGTCAAACAAATTTCGGAATCGCAATCTATTTCTAATACCCCTAATTTATACGAACAATCCTCCTCAGAACGAAATATAGACTTACAAAAAAACGAAAATCCGTGAAATAGACATACAGCCTTTGATACAAGAATTAAAAATAGAACCTTTAGAAGAAGATACCGTTAAAATAATTAATGTAGATGTCTCGGATAGGGGATCCTTTGGATCTAAAATTCTACAGATAATCAATCACCCGCAATCAAATTAGTATATCTATTCGAAAGAATTTGTTTTGTGGAATTTAATACTATACGGGCTAAGCAAGAAGAAATCGCTAATTGGTATTCATATAGAAAATTCTTTGAAAAAGACATAGTGAAACTTTACCTGAGATCCTAAAAAAATATAAAAACACTACGAAACATTCGAAACAAAAAGCCTATGAGTTTGCGAGCGGTCAAATTTATGATAAAATGTTATATTATCTTTCAGGTTCTCACGAGTAAATTAACGTAAAAAAACACAATTAATGAAAAAATTTCATATTCTCACGTGACCGACTCTGAACCACCCAAAAAAATATTCGAGTATCAGAAATCCAGGTAAATATCCCCACTGAATATATTTCTACTGATTGATTGAAAATACTGAAATATCGGAAACAGAGACAAGTGCATCATCTATATCTTCATCCAATCCAATCCAACGCATGACGTACGTACCTATCTCTGTAATGAAGTATTATTATAGGAACGCTATGCAAGTTAAATCACGATGATGTTGGTATAGAGAGTAGATATGAATCTGGTTTTTATTATATTAAATGTGAACAGTGTGAAATTGAAATAACGGCATAAATGCCATCTTATACTGAAAAAATCTTTCCTAATGTTTGTTTTTTTCACTTAGTTAAAAAGAATGCTTTCGCATATGGTCGTTATGAATTTAAAGTAATGTACGATTATATAAACAGCAACATGAATACACAGGCCAAGTCTCGGCTACGATTATTCATAGCCAATTTGCCAAATACTGAGATGATTTTTTAGTAATCATAAGGCAAAATTACAATCTGTGCTCGGGTTGGTGATCACGTGACGATGTTCGTAGAAAATAGATACTACCGTAAAGTGCACACCCGTTAAGGATTGGGAATCGGTTTAGTCGACTAAAAAATTTTATAGTAAGCTACTAGACTAATTAGTCGACTAAACATAGTAGTCGACTAAACCGATTCCGATCCCTACCCCGTGATCGGTACCCTTTTGGTTTTTACTCCCCTGTATTTGCGATGATTTTACATGTTTCGAGGTTATTTGCTATGGTATTTTGTGAGACAAATCAATAAATCAATAGCTGGCTTGAAAGTAAAGAAAAAAATTTTCTAACGAGCAAATACGGGGGGTATAAGTCATACAAGATATAAGGTACCCGGGTACCTTGCATGGCACTTTACGGTATATATTACAGTATATCGAAAGGTTTTTAAAACTTCAAGTGATGATTTCTCAGATCAATTTCGGTAAAAAATTTTTTATTTTAATTCTATAGTAATGTATAATTAAAGTACATTGAATTTAGTTTTGTGGTTATCAAGAAATCATCGTCAAAAGTTTTAAGAAACCTTAAAATACCTAGGAAAAAACTACTGTACAATCAGGTAGATTTTTCTTTCTTTGAAAATTTAGACAGAGGTTTCTCGACAACCAACTATCCAAATTTGATGAATTTTTTATTTTGAGTTTATGGGTTCATAGATTAAAAACAAAAAAGGTTGATCGAATTTGAATAGCTGGTTGTGAAATATTCGTTAAAAGTTATAAAAAAATTTGGCCGCAGCTTATTTTTTAATGACATCTAAACTTTGAACAAAGATTACTCGACACTTACCTGGTCAAATTCGATCAAATTATTTTATTTTAATTTTATGAGATTGCAGAACTAAAAAAAAAAATTGTTTGAATTTGACAAGATAAGTGTCGAGTAATCTTCATTCAAAGTTTAAGTGCCTATAAAAAGAAAGCTGCGGCCAAATTTTTTTTAAACTTTTAATGAATATTTCTCGATAAACAGCTACCTAAATTCGATTAAATTTTTTTATTTTAATTCTATAAATCATAGAATTAAAATAAAAAAAATTTAATCGAATTTGAATAGCTGGTTATTGAGAAATATTTGTTAAAAGTTAAAAAAAAATTTGGCAGCAGCTTATTTTTTAATGACATCTAAAAGATTACTCGACACTTACCTGGTCAAATTCAATCAATTTTATTTATTTTAGTTCTACAATCTCATAAAATTAAAACAAAAATAATTTGATAAGTGTCGAGTAATCTTTGTTCAAAGTTTAGATGTCATTAAAAAATAAGCTGTGGCCAAATTTTTTTATAACTTTTAACGAATATTTCACAACAACCAGCTATTCAAACTTTTTTGTTTTTAATTCTATGAACCCATAAAATCAAAATAAAAACAAAATTCGTCAAATTTGGATAGTTGGTTGTCGAGAAATCTTTGTTTAAATTTCAAAGAAAGAAAAATCTACCGACTTTTGTAGGAATATATTTTGCATACTCTTCATGTTGTAAAGAACTTGATTGTGTAATATTAAATTTTGCTTCTTTTCTAGCCCGGTAAAATTTACTATTGCATGAAGAAAATTTAAAAGCTGCGCTAAATTCAATCTTATAAGGATTATTACATGATATTGCTAAGGAGCTTTAGTATAACTTATATTTTCATTACAATAAATTTTAGAAGTTGATCCAAAGCATGTTCCGGGATAATAATTTTAGTCCTTAGAAATGAATTTCTTTTAAAAAATGTATGTTAAATAAATATATATAAGACTTTATATGGTATAATATAAGTTAATATATATACGTCATCAGAAGTAATGTTAAAAAAATCGGGAATCAGAAATCATCGATTTCTTTTTTTTTTTGCAATAATTATACAATTTTTTAATAGTATCAATTTTAGACGCAGAAAAAATCGCGATCAGATGATCGTGATCCAATCAATGATCACATTCATAATACAGACTATCTAAATTGCATATGTCGATACTATATTCTGGTTGCATTGTGAGGTTCAGAACGATCAAAAATCACCTGATCGCGAATTTTTTTTGCCATCATTATGTTACCTGACTGCTAACCCTCTCTTGAAATTACGTAATAAACGGCACTTCCCTAAGAGTGACTTGTAATCCTGATTTTTGATTATTTTAATTGAGTTCAATTAATTATATTAAAAATTATATTCAAACATCTAAATTTTATTGTAGTAATTAAAAATTATAAAAATAAAAATTTACTAATCTACAATTATTAAATATTTATTGTAAGAATTTCAAAGATGTAGCTTTAAATTTAAAAAGCTAAAAAGGTGGGATACTTATAATTTTGACTATGACTTACACCAAAATTCTTTTATTTATTTATTTACTTTAAAAAACTATTCTAACAAGAATTCGTAATCAACAATGATACAACAATTGAAACAACGTAACTTGTGTTTCTCGCAATTTTATTAGTGAAGATCACACCCAATCATAAACTGAGAACGAGCTCTCATCGAAATCACAAAGCGCGAATGGAAACTCATTAAATATATAATCAATCTGTTGTTGTTTCAAGATTTCTTCTCCTTGAGCAATAACTCGAGGCTCAGAGAAAAATACCTATTAAAAAAATAAGTTACATGATATTAATATTGAACTAAAATATGCAAACGTGTCTACTTATGCATACCCTAGCATAAGAGTCGATGTCAAATTTGAACGGTTTCATTCCAAAATTCGCTTCCACACATTCACCACGAGTTCTCATTCCTACAATTGGAAATAAATCATCATTTAAAGGAGCTTTAAAAGCAATCCCTAAGATTATTCAAAAATTAAAGTATTCTTTAGCTTATTTTATATTGATAAAATCGTACATTAATCTAACATAATATGCATTTACCCAGATTGATTCCATTTTTCGTATAGAAAACATGTCTATCCACAAAATTTACACAACAACCAATGGTGTCTCCTGTGCTATATAAAGGCCCGTACCTCCTGCCGTGAGCTTCTCCAAAAAATTTACGTCCATCATCACCATGATATCCCATTGTCCCAAACCGCCATCCTATGATAGGAAAATTATGTAAATCTTCGTGAAAGAAGTAATATCAAATTCGCATACAATTTGCGATAATCAACAAACCTGGCAAAATATCAAGAATATCTAAATTTTTAGCAAAACCAACACCAATATACCTAATTTAATTGAAAGAATAAATAAATAACATCGAAATTACGAAATCATGTGAACTTACCCATTTTCCCCTTTATCTATAATATCGACTTCAAAATAGTATAACAAAGCTTCAGGCGGAACAGGGTAATCGGTGGAAATTGATTCAGCTTGAGTGTCATCAATTCCAGGACCTTCATTAAATATGTTAAGAAGGTACGTATAAAATAAAATAAGAACAGAAAAAAATACACATAATTTACCTGTATATTTAATCATTAATTTATTATCCATACACTTGACGTATCTTGGCGAATATTCTTCGAAGCACGTTGGAAGAAATAATGGATCATTTGAAGTTTGAAGTTTTTCTATAGATGTACCTTTAAGATATCTTGGAATAAAAGGTTGCCCATCTATGCTCGCCATGTTGGACATTACATATGTACATTAAGTATTTTTTCGATTTGGAGGCGAGGATTTTCTACTCTGGTTAACGTTAAGACTAAATTATGCGTGTGGTTAAAATTCGCACTGGACCCTGAAAGATTTAGCAAACTTTATCAGCCATCTTTTTTTTATGCATGTTACACAAAAACGTAATTTTTGTATCACTTTGCTGCGCTCCAGACAACCATACAGTTAATATCGGGTATGTGGCTACAGATGTGATTAGATAGCGTAACTTAACAGATAAAAAGAGTTTCGCCTACGTATAATTATTTGTAAATTAGCGGCCGCCTGGAGGTTTTTTTATACATGTAAAATTTTTTATAAGCATGAAAAACCATATCCGTTATTCTCTTTATATCCGGATACATAATTCGGATCCATAATTCGGATCCATTAATCATACGTACAAACGATCTAAATGTCTATAAAGTTAGCTGATTTAACACAACTTATCAAATTTTATAAAGATTACATCGGCATCATTTTATAATATTAGGATAGGATATCAGATAGCTTTTTACCAAATTCTGGTGATACTAATTATTCTTATTTTATGTTCGTTATTTGCTAATTTATAATTTAAATCAACCTATCTTTTATCAACAACTCAGCAACGAAGATGCAGGTTGAGGACTCGCCCACCGATCTGGTCATTGGGCTAGGGTTAGCCAGTTCACTAGTTACATCAACTAGAATAAATTATAAAAATTCTACTAACGAAACCACAGATACTCGTTAGTCAAAATTTATAAAGTAGGCCAAATTTTTTTTTCAAAAAAATTTGAAAGTTAATTTTTAGCAAATTAGAGGTTTGACAACTATCTAGATACGTCACAGCAATAATAATACAATCTTTCTATAAAAATTTTGCCCATTAGCCAGCTTATAATTTCCAATTTACAACTGTTTTCATAAATTCTAGGGCAGCTAAAAATTTCTCAAGGAACAAATCGATAAATACTTAAGTTACCAAGTCAAAACAAACTAAAATTTATCGATTCAGTTATTGACAATTTTTAAGTTGAAATTTAGAAAACAGCGTAAACTCAAATTATGGTGCGAATCGTCTATAGACTAAGGACCTGAACCGCTTAGTTTGGGATATTTAAAATGTTTAACCAGATTTGAAATCAATTATAAATCAAAAATTAATTACGTATTACCAGAATAATTCAGTCTATATAACTGATAACGATAATAGCAAGAAATATAAAAAAAAAACTCCCAGCGCATGAGCAGGCGCAAGACTTGTTAGAAATTCCTTATCGATAAAATAAAATTTGACACGTGGCAAGTAATATAAAACATGACATGGCTTATAAAGCATTTTAGTTTTCGTACAGTATGCAAGTGTTACAGAATAAAAAATCTTGTTATAACGATAAACCTTATCAGTTATTACAGTGGATCACAATTAAAAAATAAGAGATTCTGAGCGAAGAACGTAAGTATTAACAATTAGAAATTCTACTTCATGTTTATGATATGTAGTTTAGTATTTCCTATAGCTTATTAGTACCCTAGTCGTGGCGACAAACTTTGTCGTTAGAATGAGATTCTACTTATATTCTGATTGGACGAAATTATTCAATTGTAATTAATTTTTTTTCAAACTTTAACAAAGATATCTTGGCGACCAACTATTTAAAATCGATGAAAATTTTTTTATTTTCATATAGAATTAGAATAAAAAAATTCCATCAATTTTAAAAGATGGTTGTCGAGATATCTTCGCTCAAAGTTCGAAAAAACTTTTGCCGCAATTTGTTTTGATAGCTATTCTAAACTTTTGAGCGAAGATATCTCGACAACTACCTATCTAAAATCGACGAATTTTTATTTTGTTTTAATTATACAGGTATATAGAATCAGAACAAAAAAAAATTTTTTATCGATTTGATAGGTGGTTGTCGAGATATCCTCGCTCGAAGTTGGAAAAACTTTGCCGCGGCTTTGTTTTGATAGTTATCCAAGTTTTTTCTAAACTTTGAGCAAAGATATCCTATTTAAAATCGATTAAAATTTTTTTATTATAATTATACAGTTATATAGAATCAGAATAAAAAATTTTTCATCTATTTAAGATAGGTGGTTGTCGAGATATCTTCGCCCAATATTAGAAAAAAACTTGGAAACAAAAGCTGCAAAGTTTTTTCCAAACTTTGAGCGAAGGTATTTCAACAGTCGCCTATTTAAATCGATGAAAATTTTTATTATGATTTTATATGCTTGTATAAAAACTTTCATCGATTTTAGATTGGTGGTTGTCGAGATATCTTTGCTCAAAGTTTAGAAAAAACTTGGATAGCTATCAAAAGCTGCGGAAAAGTTTTTTCCAAACTTTGAGCGAAGATATCTCGACAACCACCTATCAAAAATTGATGAAAATTTTTTTTATTCTAATTCTATATGCCTGTATAATTAAAATAAAAAATTCCATCGATTTAGATGTGTGGTTGTCGAGATATCTTCGCTCAAAGTTTAGAAAAACTTGGATCATAAGCTGCGGAAAAGTTTTTTACAAACTTTGAGCGAAGATATCTCGCAACCACCTATCTAAAATCGATAAAAATTTTTTTTTATTCTGGTTCTATATGCCTGTATAGTTAGATAAAAAAAACTTTCTTCGATTTTAGATAAGTGATTGCCGAGATATTTTCGCTCAAAGTTTAGAAAAACATGGATAACCAAGTTTTTTCGACAACCAACTATTCAAAATCGATGAAATTTGTTTATTCTGATTATATATGAATGTATAATTAAAAGAAAAAAAAAATTATCGATTTTAGATAGTTGGTTGCCAAGATATCTTCGTTAATTACAATTGAATAATCAGAATGCGACTATTAAAGTAGAATCTAATTTTAGCGACAAATTCTGTTGCCACTAATATACAGCAACATTAAGGATTGTTTTTTATATCGTATGCTATTGCTAAAAAAGTGATATTGTTAGGAAAGAAGAGAACCTAAATAAGATTTAGAAAATTTCTAAAAATCATTTTCTAACCACTGTCACCAATTTTAGATCATGTGATTTTGGTTGTATCACTTTACCAATATAAGAAATTAATGATCATTCCAAGAAAAAATCCGAAGCTGGAACCAGGGACACGAAAAGAGAAAAAACCGCGATTCTTATTGGTAAATTACTTAATGCGTTTCTTGGTTTTCAAAGAATAGATTTGATTCTTACAAACTTTTCATTAACAAATAAATCGTGATTATGTCTATTTATACAGCGATAAATTTTATTTTAGTCGAGAAATGGGACACAGAAACTCTTATTGATTTTTTGCGCCAACAAAACCTAAATCTTGATGAGGACGACTTCAAAATTCTTCATGAACAAAAGATTGAAAGTTGAAATCGAGAACCTGCAAGCATCTATAAGCGTAAAAGAGTCGGAAATCACTCGCTTACGTATAATAATTAATTTAATTAGAGAAAGGGTAATTGAAGCTATCCCGTAAACTTTTAAATTAGGTGCGTTTGAACATGATTCCTATAAATGGGTTTCTGAATTCGTCTTTTCTCATATGACTGAGCAAAAGTTTATAGAAGATGGACTAAAAAGGGGACCTGCAATGAAACTTGCTAAAAAGGTCGAAGAACTTATAAAGCTCTCTTTGAAGAAAGAAAATATCGAGTACTTTTGGCTTTTTCCTTTTGAAACCTGGTCGTTACAACATTTTATCTCCTGGTCTATTGATAATTTCAGCTTTATCAATAAAATTGATGCACATAATATATACTATGGTACTTTATATATTATGAGACAACTCTAATGTCTTGCAAGAAGTTTGTAAAATTGTTGAAAAGATTTTAATTAATAAGAAGGTAAGGCCACGCAAATTAAATTAATTAATTTTCATATCTCGGCCGGGTTGGTAAAATAGAATTTGGAAATTTTTTTTTTTTAGTTTTAGTGTCATATTTTCAAATAAAGACTCCCGATCTTAGCCGTGACAACCAATGTCATACAATTAAAAAATTAGCCGAAAAAAAATTTCGGCCGGTAATTTTTTTGGCATAGTAAATTCAATAAAAATTGATATAATACTGTAATACATAATTTAAAATCAGGTGGCTAATATGAATAAAAAATTATTTGCTGGCAAATTATTGAAAAAAATTTAGAAGGCCTTTCAACTCTAAAAATTGCAAAACACTTAGGTGTTAGCAGGTCTTCTATAAGTCGGGTTCTTGTACATTTTCAAAGATATGGTATTGAAAAACTTCCATCGCTTTCAGGAAAACCACTTTCTTTAAACATGAATGATATCAAGTTTTAATGAAAGAAAAACCTGACTGGTACTTGAATGAATTACAATCCGAGATGGAACTTTGGTTGGGACGTAACATTAGTCTTACAACAATTTGGAGGGCTATACACTGA